GGAGATTTATTACAAATGCAAATTCCAGAACCCCTCTGGCTATGATCCTGATTGAAGAGATTTAGGGTGGATCCTAAGAATCTTAATTTTATCAAGCACCCCCAGGTAATTCTAATTTCAATTGTCTGCTAAATGACCCTCCCAATTAATATGCTAAAGTTGTCATAGGGAATTTAAGAACCCATGAAAGAAGCTCCCAGAACGGAAGTTTGGGGTCTGAAGGAGACAGAGCTGAAATCTGAAAGCAGGGTTGGAATATAATTAATTTATGTAACAATACTGAACACTTACTATGTGACATGCCCTTTTGTTATTCAGGTGACCAGGGAAAGCACCACAATATGAGAAGGTTGTGTCATCTGTAGCAGACAAGCAAAAAAGAGTCAGAGGACAGTCTCCCCAGAATCTCATCACTTGATGAAGAGCCCGGACCTTATCTGGGATACTCAGGACTCACTGGGTCCACCACATCCAGATCTTTCTCTGCCTGATAAAGCCATAGACAAGGAATGGCCCCCTGGAGTCCTTTGGCTGTCTGGCTCTGGGTTCTGTCTCTGACCGGATCAAGTTTCCATTTCCGGGAGAGGAGATATGGCCTGAGAGATTCCTGCTTCTACCAAGCACTGAAGGAAATTCAGTTCTCTCAGTTCTGGGTCAGGAACTGGTTTGGGGATAGAGATGGAGGGGATTGGAAGGTTCCACAAAAAGCATATCAGAGAAAGAATGCATCATATATAGACAGACACAAAAGTTTTCAGAACATTCTATTATTGTTGCTCGAACACAAGCTACACAGTAGAATCAATCAGCCGTGAAGTTTTTTAAAAATACACTTATTTAGAGAGTTTAAATATCTACATGTGAAAATAAAAAAATAAAACTTTTAGAAGTATATCAAAGGCTGGGTGGGGTGCCTCACGCCTGTAATACTAGTACTTTGGAAGGCAGAGTCAGGAGGATTGCTTGAGGCCAGGAGTTTGAAGACCAGCTTGAGCAACACAGCAAGACCTCGTCTCTGCAAAAAATAGAAAAATTAGCCAGTGGCAAGCACCCATAATCCCAGCTCCTTGGGGGCTGAGGCAGGAGGATATCTTGAGCCTAGGAGTTTGAGGTTGCAGAGAGCTCTGATGACACCACTGCACTCTAGCCCGGGCAATAGAACAAAACCCTGTCTTGAAAAAATAAATTAATTAATCAAAAGCACCTGAAGAAAAATACGCTTATATGCCAGGGAGCAGAGAACTTTTTAAAAACTTCAAAAGCAAAAACAATAAGAAAAAAAGAGAGAAATATTTGCTTACATTGAAATCAGGAATATAGCCATGGTGTTCCAGCTACTTGGGAGACTGAGGCTGGAGGATCACTTGAGCCCAGGAGTTCAAGGCCAGCCTGACCAACATAATGAAACCCTATCTCTTAAAAAAATAAAATAAAGTAAAATAAAAAACTTTCAAAAGGACACAGTAAAAATATAAATACTTAGATAGATGTACTAGTGGGAGAATATGTCTGAATTGTCCAAAAATGGCAAGGGCTTAATATATATATCAAGAAGCCATGAAAATCTGTACAATCAGGACAGCAAGATCGAAAGGAAATGAGCAAAGGATAGAACAATTAGAGGAGAGAAATATACATGGACTAACGAAGATTGTACAAAATCATTAGTAATCACAGAAATAAAAAGTAAAAAGAGATATCATGGCCGGGAACGGTGGCTCACGCCTGTAATCCTAGCACTCTGGTGAGGCCGAGGTGGGCGGATCGTTTGAGCTCAGGAGTTCGAGACCAGCCTGAGCAAGAGCGAGACCCCCGTCTCTACCAAAATAGAAAGAAACTAATTGGACCCCTAAAAATATATAGAAAAAACTAGCCGGGCATGGTGGCGCATGCCTGTAGTCCCAGCTACCCGGGAGGCTGAGACAGGAGGATCGCTTGAGCCCAGGAGTTTGAGGTTGCTGTGAGCTAGGCTGACGCCATGGCACTCACTCTAGCCCGGGCAACAGAGCGAGACTCTGTCTCAAAAAAAAAAAAAAAAAAAGAGGGAGATATCATTTTACTGCCGTTACTTTGATAAAATTAAAAAGCTGAATAAAATCAATTATCGCAGGCCTAGTGACATAAAATTTTCATGTTCTGCTGGTGGAAATGTAAATTGATTAAGCCATTCTGGAGTAGTTCTTATTCAAATTAAGGATATGCACATTCTATGATGGAACTATTCTGCTGCTAGGTATAAAACTTCTACACTATCCACTGTCAGAAATCTTACACAAGTATGGAGTACACATGTGAGGCAGTTAATCAAAGCATTATTTGTGATCTTTTGACATTGGAAGAAAATTTGATTTCTGTTATTGGAAAATGGATACGCAAACTGTTGTAAATGCATATTATAAAATATTAAGCAATTTCAATGTTAGGTCCGGAGCCGAGAGGGAGACACTTGCATTCCATTCCTTTATCTCCCTAGGGGTTTGGCAAAGCCTATTTGCCTAATATTCAAAAGTAACAGAGTAGATGTACATGCAGCAACATGGATAAAACTTAAAATTAACACGCTACTGAAAAATAACATTGAAAAAAATAGGTGGATTTCTCCTACCTGCAAAGGATTCACTTCTATGAAAACTGTAAACAAGAGAAGGATATTAGACATAAGTGTGTGAAATAACTATATTCAGATATTTGCCTGCTGTCAGTGCAGATGAATCTTACAAATATTTTAGTTTATTGCCTTTTAGGCCTCAGCACAGTGAGGGGGAATTCAGAAAGAGTTAGGTAGTGTCATTAAATTAAGGACACAAAGATTTCAGGGAAGCCAAAACAGTTAGAATTTGTGGGAGAGAATATCAGAAAGGAGAAAGCTGCAAAGAGAGCACTCCATAGGTCTACAGAGGGATCTTCTTGAATCTTTAGTGGAATATTGTTCTCTGTATGAGTAGGGGTTTTAACTCCACGAGGCCAGGGAAAGAACTACTAGAAAACTGTAGGAGGATCAATTCATGACATTCATAAAGGGCGGGGAATATTCTCTGTTCTCACCATACTCTTATATCGAAGATAATTTATAGGGCATAGGTGGAGTATCACAAAGGTATAATCCTAGTATTGGAGCTAAATTTTCCCAAGTAAGGCTGCTTTGGACCTACCTTAACAAAGTTTAGGAGGAAGCCAAGATGGAAAGGAGGAAATATTAATATTATTTGAACCCAGGAGAAAAGGGATCCTTGTAACAAAAGTTGTAGAAAGTTTAGAAATGCTGTTGCCTGCAGTATCATGGAATGTAGAAACAGACCTATGAACTGAGTAATTTGGCTAAAGAGATTTCCAGACAGAATTGTAAAGGTGTTTCCTAGCATTTTCTTGCTGTTTACAGTAAAATGTGAGATGAGAGAGAAAAGTTAAATGGAGAACTTCTAAATATAAATGAGTCATAATTTGCTGAGTTACAAAGGAATGCTATTTGTTATTCCCAGCTGCTCCAGATAGTAAATGATGCTACAATTAAGAAATGACTTTCAGGCAAAAATCAAATTCAGAGCACTATCAGAAAATGTGGGCTAAAGATGAAGCCAAGAGTGTAATTGTAAATCCTTTGTTAAGAACCCAGAATGACTTAAGGTGGTAACTAAACAGAAAAACAAGCCCCTAAGGATCTTAAAGACATGTCTTACAGATCCTACTGATAAAACAACAGGTTTTACCAACCTTATTTTCATGAGGTTTGTGAATGTGGCTTTTGTTTTAAAGGGATTGGCAAGCTTTAAAGGCCAGGTAGGAAATAGGCTTTTTGGGCGGTTCAGTCTATGTGGCAATTACACAAATCAGCTGTTGCAGGAAAGCAGCCATAGATAATACTAAATTAATGAATGTGGCTGTGTTCCAATAATACTTCCTAAAAATAGGTACATGGTCACATTTGGCCTGTGGGCCACAGTTTGTGAACCCCAGGTTAAGGGAATAAACTCCCATAGCTTTCATAAAATCACAAGTTTTTGAAGAAAAGTATAGTATTTGAACATTGACCGCTTACACTAAAAGCGATAAAGGACAGCACAAAATGAAAAAAGGACTTTGGACACCTCCTCCCTCCCCGCCACCGAGACTACTACGGGAAGGAAGTAGGCTAAGAAGACTGTTGAGCTGCAAGTAAAAAAAAATTCTTAGTAAAAGAAAGGGTGACTCAGAATGTAGAACAAGAGCCCAAAGGATGGAGGCAAGAACCTGGAGAAACAATCATTCCCAGACAGCATTACTGAGTGCTAATCAACACACTAGCATTGTGTGCCTCCTGTATTCTAAAGCTGCAGACCAATGTGCCTCCTGTTTTTGTTCTTTTTGGATGCGAGTGTGTATAGAAGTTATCCTATGCCTCCTCTGCCTGTATGTTGCGAGACAGGTAACATATCTTAAGTACATAGATGTTCAAAATAAGAAGAATCTTATTCGAGGACTTCTACAGAAGGAATTGCACCCAAGGAATCTCATCCACACCTTTACCTGATTTAGATAATGCCATCCTGGACGTCGGGTTGATGTTTCAAAGGAGTCAGACTTGGTGGGAGTGAGCATATTTTGCATGTTGGAGAGGCAGAATCGTTGGGGCCTAAAAGTCAGAGAAAAATGTAAATAGAATCCAGGGCATTTTTACTGGTGTAACTCACCCACTGGATAAACAAATGAAATGAGGACTTAAGAGAAGGCAGACTCACCGGTAGGCGTCAGAGATGTAATTATTCCCCAAACCAAGCAAGGTCTTTACCTGGCTGCCAGAGTTTATATGCTAGTGATATCCTTGACGTTTAGAGCAGTTTCCTAAAGGAAAATGGTCTTCTCAATTTAGGACCTGTTCTTATTCTACAGCGAGAACATTTTTCTCTGTTAACCAAGGCCCAGATTTATCTTCCTGTTCTATCCTAGAGGAATCACTAAAAGCATTGACAAGCTGAAGTGTGAAATTTTATAAAATAATGTATTATCCCCAAGTAATAGCAGGAGGCTTCGTGGCTTAGCTGGTTAAAGCGCCTGTCTAGTAAACAGGAGATCCTGGGTTCAAATCCCAGCGAGGCCTTTTCCTAAATACAGGCAAACTCTCATCAGTGATTTGAGGACAAGTTGGGTTTATGCCTAATAAAGGTACTTTGGACAGGAGCATGGTGATCGGAGTTGGAAATGTTATCAAATCTGTGCTGAAGACCAATCATCTAGAGTTGAACTATAATTTCCTACGTTTAAACTTTTGTAGCTACTTTCCGTATTTCCTAACAAACAGGTTCACATAACATTTTTGCTTTTAATACAAATCAAAAAGAAGGCAAGAAAAAAGAGACAAGACATGCATATTGTATAAACTGAGCTCTGTGATAACTGTTCCTCCTTCTTGCACGATTCTGAACTCTAGGATATCACTGAATATTTTGAAAAGTGAAGTAACGATGACATTTTAAGAGAATAAGAAGAATGATTAGTGATAAAACATACTAAGACAAAAACAAAAACAAAAAACCTAACAAGAGACTGGAGGCAACTGAGGCCTGAAGTCTTGAATCATTTCTTAGATTAAAATAAAAGGGTGGAAAAAATTAATTAAACCCTGAAATAAAGTTTCCATTTTAGCCCTCCTCTCTCTCATATTCTACAGGACATGTCTTCAAAGTATTATATTCTACAAACGCCTTCCCTAGTATTGTGGACAACATTCCTTGTTGCCGTGGTGCTCTTAGTTTCTTGCTGCTTCCTGTAAGGAATGATTAAATTGGATGTTTGCTTCTTTCATGAGCCTTTGGGAGAAAAACCGGTCATATTTTGTGAATGCAATGCAAAATGAAAATGCTCCTTGTTAAAAAATTAAGAATTTCAAACCAGCAATAGCAGAGCATTAAATCAAGTACCTGGCCTTGTGCAGATGCATAGGACGGAGGCCCCTGAAGCCGGTCCTGTTTGAGAGTGCAATTATTTGTCAAAAGACTGGATTTTAAAGACACCTTGAAAGGAAGTGAAATGAAATCTAAAGTGGTCAATATCAAGCACCGCTAGAAGGTTTGAGAACTTGATACTAAACAGGAAAATTAGTTCTTACAGTTATAGGATTTCTTAGTGTCTTCTCTCTAACTGGAATTACATTTCTTATCCAACTCAAGTTATTCTTTTCTCAAACAACTTCTTCCTGGTCCCATTACATGTCACCCGCACTGGGATCCTTAAACATGGATAGGCAGCTTCTCCTCCGTTCCTGCCTCTAGCTGTCTTAGGGCTTTCCTTGAGTGGTTCCATTGTATCTAAATCCCGTGTAGGAAGAGACCCAGTTGCATTCCGCAGTACCGCACCACTGATTGCAAGGAGAAAGAGGTCGATCTAAATCATGCAATGTAATTGTTAGGAAGAGAAGGGGGAGAAAAAGCAGATGCTAGGTCTTGTTTCCGTCCGGTTTCAAGCCGGAGACTTTTCGCATGTGAAGCGAACGTGATAACCACTACACTACGGAAACCCCTCCCTGCAGTTGTTTTCCCTGGTATGTCTAATGAAGATATTCCTGTTTATTATTCTTCATTCCTCAAAATTTGTCTTGTCTTTGTTCAAGCATGCTACTGAGTCAGTGTCCACGATCACATTTTTATTTTTAATTTTATTTTTTTTCCAACCAAGCAAACAGCACTGATACAATAGCATTTTAAAATAGATCCCAAACAAGAACCCCGCCAAGCTTAGAAAGTATCTAACAGCCAGAAATTATTGAGTGTTTAAGTCCTATGAGCCTTATACTAAAATCACGACCACAATAATAAAAATCTCAAACATCTTGGCGCTAACCAGACTTGATGTTTACTTCTTGACGTGATGACGGGGACACTGGAATTCGTTCCCTACATCCCTCAGAATTCCTTCTTACCCTCTCAGAGTCATTATCTTTGGAAAATTCTGCTGGGTTAACGTTAAAATTCTATGAAATATCTTTCTCCTGTATTCTTTATGGGTTTCTGGTTCCTTGGTATCCGTTCTTCACGACTGTCCAAGAACTTTGCAGGCTTGACTCTAAATCTATTCGCCGCCAAGCTTGAAATTCAAAGCTTTGTTTCCCTTCGTAAAATTCCACAAATACAAACGTTTCTTCTTTTCTTAACTATGCATTTATTTTTTATGGACTTTTTTTAAAGAGGAATTTTAGGTTCACAACAAAATTGAGGGGACGGTACAGAGATTTCCCATATACTCCCTGCTCCCACACATACATAACCCCACCCCTCCATTATCAACATCCCCCACCAGAGTGGTATATTAGTTACAACTGATGACCTACATTGACATCCATCATCACCCAGAGACCATAGTATACATTAGGATTCACTCTTGTCGCTGTGTATTCTATCAGTTTGCACACATGTATAACGACATGTATCGACCATTATAGTATTATACAGAGTAGCTTCACTGCCCTAAAAATTCTGATCCTCCTGTTCATCCCCTGATTCGGGAAAGCCCTGACAATCACTGTTCTTGTTATTGTCTCCATAGTTTGGTATTTCCAGAACGTCATGTAATTAGAGTCATACAGAATGTAGCCTTTTCAGATTGGCTTCTTTCACTTAGTAATATGCATTTAAGTTTCCTCCATGTCTTTTTATGATGTGATAGCTCATTTCTTTTTAACGCTGAAGAATATTTCATTGCCTGAATTTATCACTTTGTCCATTCACTTAAGGAAAGATATCTTGGTTGTTTCCAAGTTTTGGCAATTATGAATAAAGGTGTTATAAACATCTGTATCTAGGTTTCTGTGTGGACATAATTTTCCAACTCTTTTTGGTAAATATCAAGGAGTATAATTGTATCATGTCAGAAGAATACGTTTAATTTTGTCAGAAACTATCAAATTGTCTTCCAAAGTAGCTGCATCATTTGTCATTCCACCAGCAATGAATGAGAGTTCCTGTTGGTCCACATCCTCACCAGAATTTGGTGGTGTCAGTGTTCTGGATTTTTGCCATTCTGATAGGTGTGTAGGGGTATCTCATTGTTGTTTTAATTTGCATTTCCCAGATGATATATGATATCAATCATCTTTTCATATGTTTATTTGCCATCTTTATACCTTCTTTGGTGAGGCGTCTGTTAAGGTCTTTGGCCATTTTTTAATAGAGTTTTTTGTGTCTTTACTGTTGAATTTTAAGATTTTTTTGGTATATTTTGAACAACTGTACTTTATTTGATACGTCTTTTACCAATAAAAATATTTTCTCCTAGTCTGTGGCTTATCTTTTCATTCTCTTGATGTTACAGTGTTTTTGATCGCCAGCATTTCTTTTTGGTTCTTTCTTAGAATTTCCATCTCTTTGCTTACATTGCCCATGTGTTCTTGCATGCTGTTTACTTTCTCCATTACAGCCCTTAGCATCTTAATCATAGTTGTTTCAAATTCCTGGTCTAAGAATTCCAACATCCCTGCCACATTTGAGTCTGGTTCTGATGCTTGCTCTCTCCCTTCACACTATGTATTTTACCTTTTAGTGTGTCTTGTTATTTTTTTCTTGATAGCTAGACATGATGTACTGGGTAAAAGAAACTGCTGTTAATAGGCCTTTAATAGTGTGGCGGTAAGGTATGGGGGAAGGAACAGTATTCTGCACAAAGTCCTAGTAGTGAGTCTCAGTCTTTTAGCAACCTTCTACCTCTGGACTGTGAACTTTGAACATGCTTCTTAGGCTAGAGTAGGCTGGCCTGGCATAGGTTATTTCCCTTCCCCCATGTCTATCAGGCTCTGATAAAACTCCAACAGGTTAGGTGTCCCGACCCGCGGGGTAGTCAACGCTGACCCTGGAGGAGGGAGTGGGAATTGGGAGAGGCAGGAGACACAAGAAATGGAGACAAGACAGGAGTCTGATCAAGTCTCGTTTATTGGCAGTAGGGCAGAGGCTTAAGTAAGGCAGAAAGAGGAGGTAACAGTAAAGGGGCGGTGCTTTCTGAGGCTCTGGCTTTCCAGCCAAAGGATTTCCATATAAGGAAACCCTCAGGGGCTTTCAAGGGCTACATAGTCATAATGGGTAAATAGAAACTTACAAGCTCTTTCGCGGGCTTTTGCAAATGCGCGGGCTTGGTCGGCCGTTTTAGATAAGCAGGCCGATCCACATGGCTCGCGGCCATCTTGGATAAGCAGCTGCCGGGCCTCATGGCTCCGGACAGTTAGGCTCTGGTTAAATAGTTTCTCCTGAGAGCAGACCTTGTTAAGAAGAACAGAATGCTCTGGTGTACTTCAAAATCATTCTTTTTGCCCTCCCCTACCAGAAGCAGAAGGGATTTTTTTTCTATACTCACTGTGAGAACATAGTTGAGCTCCTGAGGTAAAATTCACAAAATTGTGGTGCCCAAAAGACTGGGTCCTGGAGTTTTTATCTCTAAGACTTGTCCATGCTAAGCCACCAACAATTTGATTAAAGTTCAGGTTTCCCTACTCTAGCACTGGTTCACGTAGAGGTTTCTACTCTCTGGGCTTCTGCTCTGGTAAGTTGTGATTCTCTGTATTTGCTCGTCTGTCTCTCTAATTTTGGGAGCAGTGGTTTGCCTTGTGACCTCATTTCTTGGACAGATTTTTTCAATTTGTTCAGCATTTTACTTGTTTTTGGGACTGAGTGACAATTTCCAGCTTCTTACATGAGGGACTGGGTAATATATATATATATATAAATCTATAATTTTCTCTCCAAGAACAGTTTTAGCAGTTATCCACAAATTTGGTTGTGTTTTACTTTATCACTTTTAGTTCAAACTATTTTCTGATTTGCCTTGTGATTTGCCTTTGACCCATAGGTTATCTAAGAATGTGATGTTAATTTCCCAGCATTTGGAGATAGTCTCATTTCTTTTTGTTATTGATTTCTAGCTTAATTCTATATGAATTAGAGAATACTTTATTATTTCAATCCTTTAATATCTGGAGAGATTTTCAATGGCTCACTTTTTGTGAACTTTCCATGTGTATGCTTATAAACAGAATGTATTCTGCAGTCGTTTGGTATTGTGTCTTACACAAGTCTAGTAGGCCAAGTTGTTTGATTAAGACTGTAGTTAATATCTTTT